AGACGAATATTTAATTATGTTACAAACGGAATGACAAAGTTAATATACCCTCCTTTCCAAGGTGGAGGGTATAAAAAAATCAGTGAATAATGTAGCTAAAATCATCAAAATACTGGGAATCAGGAGTACCGTTATATGGGGGATAAACGAAGACGTGGACCTGCACATACAATTTTCTGTCATAGGCTGTAGTATTCATTACGAACATCATATACCAAAATTTTAAACATTTCCGGTGAATAATGTCGCTAAAATCATAAAAATACCGAATATCGGGAGGTACCCTTATATGGAGGCTATACAAAAACGTGGACCTACATGGCCCATTTTCAATACCAAAAATCCTGCAGACATAATATACATTTGCGTAAAATTTTATCAACCTACTGAATTTCGTTCGGAAGCTAGAGTGATTTCAACAGACGGATAGACCGACAGACGGGCGGAAATCGACATAGAATTGTATGCTGATCATGAATATAAATATTTTGCGGGGTCTAAAATGTATACTTCGAGGTGTTACAAATGGAATGACAATTTTAATATACCCTCCACACAGTAATAAAAAAACGTAAGTGCCAATTTGGTGAAATTTTTGTTGAAACATAATTTTAAAGTTAAAGCAAAAACTATTCGGAAATGCTTTTGGGACAAAATGTGGACTCCAAAAATGTCTAATTTGACGAATTTTATAAACTTGGATGACTTGCAAATAGAAAATATTAGCAAATGAATAAAAGCCTTCAATATATTGTCAACTGTAATACAAAGATTTAAGTTATTCATCTGAAATATTTAAAATACTCAAATTAACAAAACAAAATCTATTTTATTATCAAAACATTCCCTTTTCAGGTAGCACTGTTAAAAATTTTAAAAATAGAGTTTATTTTCAAAAATTTTTTAAAAAAAAATTTATATCTATTTTTAAACCTTATTAAATTGTATTGTACACCATATTTCATCAATTTTTAATAGTTGCCCAAAATATTGTTAAAATAAAATACGTGCTCTCTGCTATGCTAATCTCGCAGATGCAGACTGCGAACAATGGCCAAATTAATTGCTATGAATTTTGTTGACAAGCCATAAATGCCCAAAATTGAATAGAAAAAAAAAAAAAAAAAAACACAAGGAATCCCAATGTGACAAATTTGAATCAATTGACAATCAAACCAAATTGAATTTTAAGAAATATTTATACAATTAAAATTACTATATTTATAATTTTTCTTCAAAAAATCAAAATTAAAATTCATAATACAACATGATGAATTGTTGTACAGGCAAAAATCTGTGCCGCCGCCGCCAAAAAAAAAAAAATAAATAAAAAAAAATACAAATTGCAACGACAACAAAAGAAATGCACAGAATTTGTCAAAATTGCCGCCTTGTTTATGAATAATAAAAAGCGGAATTTCTTTTTTGGTAGCAAAAAATTTTTTTGATTAAAATTCATTGTGATAGCCGCCGTGCAACAGGTGTCAAGTATTTGAAATTAATAATTAAAAACAAAAACAGAAAATTTAATACATCTACACTATGTTAACAACATTTGCATGATAAACAAATTTAATTGTTGTTTAGCAGCATTTTGGGGTCAAGAAACTTTGTTTTGTTTTTGCTCTGAGAGAGGCTAATATAAAAATTTGAGGTGAATGTAGGTGATTTTGGCGAAATATGAAGAATATACAAAATATACGCTACCATTATCTAAAAATTCTTGTTAGGAATTCCAATACATGCTAAATTCTATTTTCTCAGATCAGATAGTCATGAAGAAATTCAAATATTTTCTAAAGAATTGTGAAAAAAATACTTCAGCAATAAGTGAACGGACACTTTGGTCCCTCTTGACTGCAAAATGACAGCAACTTGTTATTTGGCAACCTTAATAGGAAGTACACATCCTTGCAAAACATAGTTCAATGTCCGTGTAGGTTTTATAATGACTCCTCATGAAATAGTTTTACCAATTCTTGGTATTTTTCAAGTCTGTACAAATTTTGTTAACAAATGATCTACAATTTGGTATTTTGGGTTCGAAACTGGCAAGAAAAAAAACTATGTGGTTAAAATATCTAGTATTTACATTTATTTGGCACATCAACCCTGCAACCTAACAAACAAATTTTTGCGGAATTTTAAAGATAACCAATTTGGACATAATATAAGTTTCGAAACTGAAAACTAGCGTCTTATGGCTACGCGTCATCTGCCCAGGCACGCTAGGAAGGCTCCTTGTGATCTGGAAAGTGGAGGGGAGATGATCAATGCTACGAAAGAGGGAGATTCTTGATAGGCAGGCTTATTTGTTGGGACGAAACAGCGTTCATTCTGACTGAATCGCTGAGCAATTGCAGATCCTTGGATATCTCTCTCCATCAATTGCAGCAGAATAGTTTTGGCTGGCAACTGCGTTTCCTTTCAAGTAACTTATTTTGTGAAGCGCTTCAAAGTATGTCATAAAAATACTTATCATAAATGTGGAAAATGTAGCTTCGCATGTGACTCTAACATTGTGTGTATGCTATGCTTGACCACAACCTTCGGGTGGGTCTCCTACTGAAAATATCACCCGTCAAAATTAATTTTTTTTATACTCTCCATCATACATAGCATGGAAGGTATATTAAGTTCCTCATTCCGTTTGTAACTCATCGAAATAACCATTTTAGACAAAACAAAGTATATATACAGGGTGAGATGAAAAAACTGAAACCAACTTCAGACTGCTGTCATTTCTAAGCCACTCTAAGCCAAGAGCTGTTCAAATTATTCCAGTGACAGCTCATTATATTTTTTTACAAGGTGCGAATTTTCCAGAAAAAAAAAGTTTTTCTGAGGGGGTTCAAGCGTAATAGCGGCATCTGAACAAATGCTGAATATTCTCGCGAAAATATTGGGGAGGGTGTATAAAAGCCTTGGGCACGCAAACATTTTGGCCGCAGACCTTGGACATCCCAAAAGGACTCAGCACCATCGCACTCAGCACACGCCACCCAATAATAATGGTTACAAAATGAGGTTCCTCGCTTCATTTGCAGCGCACAATGGCCACCAAAATCTCCGGATACCAATCCGTTGGACTCTTGTGTCTGAAGTATTTTGGAAAGCAAGTTTGGCACTAAAAAATACCAAAGTGTCGATCACCTCAAGCAAACGCTTCGCCGGGAATGGGCCAAAATACCGCAGAGCAACATTTGGACAGCGTGTCACGGTTTCATTGGCCGTATGAAGGCCACAATTCGTGCCAAAAGAGACGAATTCGAACAAATCTAAACTTATCCTAAAATTTGATGCTATTTACGATATTTTTTGCTTTCATTCAATAAAATTTAAAAAAAGTTAAATTTATGGCGTTTGACTTTGTTACAGTTTTTTTTATCTCACCCTGTATTCTTGATCAGTGTAAATTTCTAAGACGATTTAGTCCTGCCCGTCCGTCCGTCTGTTTTAATCACGCTAGAGTCAAAACGAAAGCTAAAATTTTGTACAGATCGGTCTTTTGTGTGAAGGCAGGTCAAGTTCGAAGATGGGCTATATCGGTCCACGATATCGTATAGCCCCCATATAAATGTTCAGTATTTTGATGATTGTGGCCACATTTTTCAATGAAATTGTTTGAACCACACAAGGAGTTCTTTGTAAGTACTTTACCCTCTGTTTAAGAATGGTTTATTAAGGTTGTCGATATCGTATAGTCCCATTCCCATATTAAAAAGGAGCAAAAAGACCCATTTTGATGATTCGCTTGATCCTTGTATTCTTATCTGTAATGTTGCCGAAAACACGATATAGACTAAATGACACGGATTCTAAGGAATTTTAATCCGAACATTTGAAAAAAAAAATTTTGAAAAGGAGATACTTGATCCCGCTATTAGATTACTCTGCGTTGTGAACTTCCTCTATATCTAACTCTTTTTTAAAAATTCTGGTTATTATTGAAAAAAAAAAAAAAAATAATAAAAAAATAATAAATAAAAAATTGAATAAAATTAATATCAGTTTTATGCCGCCTAGCATTGCTCCAGAAAAACCAAAGGCATATTCGTTATCCGTGGACAAGCGCAAACCCAAAACCAAAACCATATTGGAAGAAGTGCGTATTTGTACTGTGTATTTAGCTATATAAGTCATACGCTCTTGTGGTAAAAATAAATAATATTAGTTATACGCCACCATAGACTACAAATAATAATTTAACAATTATTTCTTGTAAAATTAAGAAAAAAAAAAAAAAAAAAAAAAAAATATATATATATATATATATATATATATATATATATATATATATATATATATATATATATATATATATTTATTTATTTATTTATATTATTTAAAATTATGTGAAAAACTAGAGTACCAAACACCAATAAGGGTTTGACAGATACACATCCCTGTTATACATAGGCGGGAAAAAATTATAAAAAAAAAATATTTTTCAAATATTTTTATATGACAAATATTTGTATATATTGAAATTGCAAATTAAAACCATCCGTCAGAATATTATCGGAATTCAGGAATAATACGTTTCTTTTTTAATTGATGATGTGAAAGGGAGAAAAATTTTCAACTCATAATATACTTAATAATAATTTATATATAAATCATACGCCCCTATGATAATAATTTTTATAAATTATACGCACCAGTTATAAATTATGAATTACTAAGAATTATATGCTTAGTCTATTTTAAATAAAAATATTATTTCTTAACCATCCTTTTCACACTAATCTCATTAACTTATTTACTAAAAATAAATTGTTAAATTATTTCAAATATTTTAGGAACATCATTTCTAGTACCTTTTCATGCAGAAACACAACAAGCAAAATTGAAATACTTTCATCAAAAATTATGGCTGATAAATTAGCTTGCAAGCGAGCAGGATGGCACATCAGGGTTACAGCGCACAATGACGAGGCACAAGAAAAAAAAACAACAACAATAACAAATTGTTAAAGAGAAAACTTTCAAGAATTCACCTCGGCAGTATAGTGTAAACCTATGGCGGATTTTGACATTAGATTGTTCGTTTTCGAATGATTCAAAATCATTGAAGTACTCTGTTGTAGGGGATAATGTTGTTGTTGCTGCTGCTGAGGAAGAGGAGCAACAACATGTTGCTGATACATAAAGTTTTGTGTCTGTTGTAAATGGGGATGTTGCTGTTGTTGTTGCTGTTGAACGGCACCAATTGGTTGAAACACTTGTTGCTGTTGTGCTTGTTTTTGTGTGGGTTGTTGATAGAAACTTAAGGCCGAGGCGGAGGCCGATTGCATTAATGGATGGTGTTGGTGACCAACATGTTGATGATGTGGTTGCTGTTGTTGCTGCTGTACAAAACGAGTAATGCCACCTGGCCCACCACCAGCATTTGCCTTTTGCTGATAGTATTTTTGTTGCTCCGCCGTTGCTTTGCCGTAATAACTATCAAATGTTTGTAAAATTTTCCTTTCCGGTTGCTGGGCCACATGTTGAGGCAACATGTTGCCAAAGGAAGAGAGATGTTGCTGCTGCTGATGCTGTTGTCCCATTGGTATGTGGCCAATATTCAATTGAACATTAATGGGTTTCTGAACGGCCGAAAATGAGGCCGAGTGAGAGAGGGGATTTTTGCTTCTCGAAGGATAGACCACAAAGGCTGAGTTATGTTGCTGCTGTTGTGCTGTTGGCAAACATTGTTGCTGACTATTGAATTGTGTTTGTTGTTGTTGCGGCTGTTGTTGATTGACAAATTTATTTTCCTTATTACTTTTTTGCATAAAATGATGTCCCGTGGTGGAAATGGGTTTAAATGTTGTTAAATTAGGTTGTTGTTGTTGCTGCTGCTGTTGGAAATGTTGCATTTTCTTGGCAACATTTGTTGCAGAGCTACATTGTTGCAATTTATTTTGTTGCTGATAGTGCGGATCATTGGTGTTGCAGGCAAATGTAGACCAATTCAAAAAAGTTTTCTTTTGTTGAGGATAATTTGATGTCTGCCCCAAATTATTGTTGTTTGTTTCATTTGCAGCAGCAACATGTTGCTGTTGTATAGGCTGCAGCAAATGTTGCCTCTGATAGCTGGCCATTGGTATTTGTGAGGTTGAACTTGATTTGCCAATGGGATAGCTTTTCTTTGTGCTTATTGCCACGGGGATTTGTGATTGATTGGCTGTGGCCGATGATGACGTTGCTGCTGACGAGGTTGCCGTTGAGGAGGTCGTCGTTGGCGTGACTAAATTTTCATTGACCTTGCTGTTGTTTATTGATGAGGTTGTCGATATTGCTGTTGTTGGGATTGTTTTATTGTTGAGGTTCATCATTTCATTATTTATTGGCTCCTGTTTAGATTTCTCATTGCAATTAGGTGGGTTCGTTGCCGCCGCTGCTGCCAATGCAGCTGATGTTGTTGTTATATTTGTTGCAGTTGTCGTCGTCGTCGTAGTCTCATTTGCCGCCGGGGCCATAGATTTTTGTGTGAGTTTCGTTTTTGGTTTATCATTAATTTTATTATCGCTTTCTTTCGCACGTTTTGCCTGTTCTAAATTGGCAGCACTTTGAGCTTTTGAGATCTTGTAGCCGCCATTGGATGGCGTCGTTGCTGTGGTTACTAATGACGACCCTGGCGTTGACCCAATTTGTTGGCCATTAGAATTTGTGGATGACGAGACTGTGGACGCAGCTGAGTTGGGGTTGGAGTTCGATGAATTCGCTATCTTCTCTTGGCTGGTCGGTGGTATATGAAAGCTAGATGTCAACTTGGTAAGCTGGGGCAAATGAGTGGCACAACAATTGGTTACAGTTATACTGCCCGTACTAATGGTACTGTTGCTCTTTTCAGATTTTCTCTCCAAAGAGGGAGATCCTGTGTTGCCAGAATTACTGGAGACTTTGGAGCCAATTTGACCGGCATTTTTCAGAGAAGGATCCTTGGGTTTGTATTCCATAAAACCGGGTTTAGATTGTAATTTCTGTTGTTGCTGTTGCTGCTGCTGTTGTTTTTGTTGTTGCCTCAACATCATGATTTCATCATTTAAAGCGGAAGTACCTCCCAGCTTCTCGGCAATATTAGAACTACTGCCCATTGTCGTATTGGCGGCCGCCATCAATGAGGTCGACATTATCAATGGTTTCAGCGGCGATGAATCACTGGTCTGTGGCACCAAATTTGGCTGCAACTGCTTACTAACACCACCAAATGGACTATATTTAGGTGTTCCATAGACATTGGAACTTGAGAGACTCTTGAGCAGACCTCGCAGGGGATTTGCGGCATCACCATTATTTTTCGGTGACGATGATGCTGTCGATGACGAGGTAGGTGACGCATAGAGGCCGGCAGCCGGTGACATTGTCATTGAACTGGTCATCGGTAAAGCGGCTGCTGGCCTACTCATCTCTCTTTTGCTACCGGCCAGTGGGGTTTCCGTGAAATTTTTCGGTTCGGGAGGTAGGAGTATGGCACTGTTCGAAGTACTACGACTAAGAGCCGGTAGGTGTTTCATATAGCAAGGTATGTGCGTTTTGGAAGAGGAGCGCCTCAAATTATTGAAACCCAATGTGGGATGTTGAGATGCAGATACCATGCCAGTGGTGTTTGTGTTGGGTTGCTGGAAAATTCCCACATTACCCTGCGGTACATGGGTCATGGAAACACTTTTATTGAGATTACCACTACTCCCCGCCATCATTGGAGGATTAACCTTCACCGGTACCTTACTTAAGAAATCATTGGTTGCCTTGGGTGACGAGGAGGAGGGCTCATTACATATCAGCTTATAGAGATCTTCTTTGGTTACAGCCTGTCGCACCTTCATATCCAAATGGGAGAGGGAGGCATTTTTCTGTAATTTATTTGGACTAGATTTCGATTGCTTTTGCAATTCCTTTTGGGCCGCCTCGGCCACGGTGGGATCAAATATGGCCAATTTCTTGGCAGTTTGCGCATCCACCTTGAGAGGAGCTCCTGCCGCCCCCACCGATGAGTTACAGATTTTCTCATAATTCCAAAGGGTGCGTTTGGGTGTCTGACGCTTTTGCGACTGGGCCAAGTTGTCGGACCAAAACTCATTCATACTCTGTTTATTCAGGGACATATTGGAGCCATTCATTTGGGAATTTTTCTCTTCCATTAGGGTGGGTTGATCAAAGAAGTTGGGCCTAGACATACCAGGGGAGTTAGCAGAAGTAGAACCAGAGTAAGGCATATTGGAGCTGGAAATGCTTCTTTGCAGTTTTGGCTTTTGCTGAAATATTGAAGGATATTGTATTCTCTGCTGTTGTTGTTGTACCTGCTGCCCAGCCAAATTTGGATTGGAGGACATCGATGATGGTGTCGCTGCCAATATTTGAAAGTTCGTTGAGGAAGACTTTGTCAATTGATTTTTCTCGTTTGGTTTTAGAATCGATTTCTGCAGCTGCTCGCCGACACTTTGCTGGGAATCCGATTTACTCAAAGGAGCCTGTCTTTTCTTGAGCTTATCATAGAGAACCTCACATTCTCGAAATTCCTTGTGCAGCTTACGATCCAATTCACTGTAGTCGGGAAGACTTTTTAAATACTTATTCATCATTTCGATTTCGGCATCATAAAATGAAGCATCCAATTTCGTTGAGGCCTGTACTGCTGCCGTCTTCTCTTCCAGTTCCTTTTGCTGGGCTATCAGTTTATCCAAATCTAATTTGGAGGAGTTGGACGCAGCGGAGGAGGAACTTTTCGGTGATGTAGCCATCTGGGTCATCGCGACCATTTTTGGGCTCTCATTGAGCAAACGATGTACATTGCCTGTGGAGGGTACCTTGGGTGCCCGACAAGGCAAGGGAGGTGGTGGTGGCGACGATGATGGTGAGGATGTCGAAGAAGATAAAGAGAGGCTTGAAGCCGGACTAGAGGCAATGGCGGCCATCATACGTGGCGGTACTGCCGGTATTGTTATGGGCGATGAGATGGTACCCGTTGAGGCATTATATGCCAGCGGGTAGTGTTTGCGTGCGGAGGGTGGTGTAGACTTCGGACTTACCGGTGGTAGACCACGATTTTTCCTCCCCGCCAAGGGCGATGAAATCGGTGATCGTAGCCCTGATTTAGTTTCAGCTTTGCTGGACGATATTACCGTGGCCATTTGTGGCGACATCATTTGATATCCTTGAGACTTACTCATTGTTGTTGTATCGTTGTTGTGATTCTCTACAGCAGATGATGGCGAAGAGGAGGATTGCTCATTATCATCCTTCGTAACCTGTTGGCCAGATTTATTTTTGGCTTCTTGAGATTTTGTTATTGACTTGCTATCGTTGTTGTTGTTGTGGTTTTGGCTGGTGGCGGCAGTCGAGGTGACATTACTGTTGTTTTTATGTTCGTTGTTATTACAAACTTCATCAGTTCCAACATTTTCACTCATTTGGTTTCAAAAGAAAACGACAATGATTTGAACGTTTTGAGAAATATCTTTCAATATTTTGAATCTATTTTTTTGTGATTTTTTTTTTGCTTTATCTTTTAGATTCTATTGAGAAATATTGAAAATTATACAACCCCGATTTTATGTTTTCGCGATGTTATGGATAAACTGAGGAAAAATTCCAACAATTTCAAATATAACTTTTGTGAGCTGAGTTAGTGGTGTAATGATTTTGATATTGTGTTTGAATTCAACCAGACTTCAACTAAATATTTGAATTTGGGAAATAGGTCTTAATCGAGGCGTCTTACTGATAAATACATGGCCTCAAAATTTTTCTAATCATGGGGCTTGGAAGACTTCCCAGAGAAGTCCTTAAATTCTCCTGAAAGAAATATTTTATGGTCTTCATCATGTAATGACTCAGAGGCCTTTTATATAAGGCTTACAATCTCTGCTCATGGGGATGGGGTTTAAGGGTCTCTATAAAACATTCCTAGTGAGGCTTTAACGCCATGGCCTTCTCAAAAAAGGCATTAAAGGACTTTCCCAAAAGGGACCAAAAAGTCCTCCCAAAGACGGTCTAAAGTTCTTCTCATAGAAGGTCTTGAAGCATTTCTCAAAGAAGGTCTTAAAGGACTTCACAAATAAGCCCTTATAGATCTTGTAAAAGAAGGACTTTCTCAAGGAGACCTTAAAGAACATCTCAAAGAAGGCCTTAAAGATCTTCTAAAAAAACCGATAAAGGTTTTCTAAAAGAAGTCCTTAAAGGCTGTACAGGGCGTCTTAAGGAAGACCTTAAAGGTCATCTTAAAGAAGGCCTTCATAAAGAAAGAATTAAAGGTCTTCTTAAAGAAGGCATTAAATGTCTTCTTAAAGAGGGTTTAAAGGTCTTCATAAAGAAGACCTTAAAAGTCTTCTCAAAGACGGAGAAGATCTTAAAAGTCTTCTTAAAGAAGGACTTTAAAGTCTTCCTAAACATACGTTAAAGGTCATCTTAAAGAAGACCTTAACATATTTCTAAAAGAAGGCCTTCGAGATCTTCTCCAAGAAAGCCTCTTAAGGCATTAAAGGTCTTCTTAAAGACCTTTAAGCCCTTAGGAAGGTATTCTTTGAAGAAGGCCTAAAAGTCTTCTTAAAGGAGGCCTAAAAGGTCTTCTTAATGAGATTTTAAACTTCTTCTTAAAGATGGACTTTAAGGTCTTCTTAAAGAGATGTTAAAGGTCTTCTTAAAGAAGACCTTGAAAGTATAGTCTCTGAGATTCAGATTTTCCTTTTTTTGAGAAGATATTTCTAGAAATTCCAGTAATTTCTTGAGATCCCAAATTTCCTTTTTGAAATTCTTAAAACATTTTTCTCTTCACAGAAAACCAAAGAACAATTTAACAATGTTTCCGAACAGAGAAACAAACATCGACAACAACATTGAACGTACAAAAGAGAACAAAACCAATACAAAAATTCTCACACAACACATCCTCCAAACACAGTTGACAACATTGGACGCAGCACTTCCAAAAGAGATGAACGCTGGACACGGGCACATGGAAATTGTTTGGACCAACCTTAAGATATTGTTCCGGTATTTTGGAATTTTTCGGTACGATAATCTTCTTGATAATTATAATTTTATCACCTTCAATCTTTTGTATGGTTATGGGTACACCAGGCATGGGTCTGGCCGGTTTGGCGGGTACCTGTTGGGCTGGCGGATGTTGGACGGGACGTGGTCCCTGGGGCCCGGTTAGAATACCGCCGGGGTTAGGTTTACTGGCAATTGTTGCCGATTTTTGTAAGGGCGCGGGTTTTGGTTTAGGCTTGGTGTGTGATGATGTCGACGACGACGTTGAGGGTTTGTGATCCTTGCCATCACTGCGCACAATGGACAGGTGATAGAGAGGTTTATCATCCTCGAGTATACTCTTTTGTGGTTCCACTTTACGCTCAACTTTACGTAGCACAACACCCAACATGGGACCCTCGTTTTTCTTTACAGTGATCTGGGTGCGGGGTGGTGTTACCTTTTTGAGATTTACGCCCAGACTGACACCTACTGGGGGCGGTGTCTTGGTACGATGTACCATTTTTCCGGTGGGTATTTCCCGCCTTAGAGTTTCTGCGGCTATTTCTTTAATTTCTTCTTTGGTTAGCTCCTCCTGGACCTTGGGATCGGTGTGTAGCACAGGTTCATTGGCAATCAGGGGAGAGGGTCCCGGGAAGAGACCAGCGAGACTGCTTCTACGTCTCTCCATATTGGGAGCGGAGGCAGTTTTGGCCAGTGGGAAGGGAGTTAGGGGTGGTGTTGGAGGCAAGGTGACCGTGGCCGAAACGGACACATCACTGACAATGCTGGCATTGCTGCTGCGACGACTGGCATCTTTGCTGGCCGAATTTAGACGATCCGGGGCTTGGCTACGTTCACGGTGATGCAAACGATCATCGTCCGGCAAAGAATCTGAACGTCTTTCACGGCTATCGCCGCCGCGATCACGACGTTGTTTCCTCAACAACTCAATGGAATCCAAAATCGAGGGACGTTTATTTTTAAAACGTTCCGAATCGTTCATGTCCGTCAGGGAGATGTCGGAATTGTTGAGGGGATGTTTAAAGAATCCTGCGGGAATATTTTCTTCCGACTGTTGTGCGGAGGAGGGAGACTTAGGGGGCTTTAAATTGCTCTCAGCTGCAGCGTCAGGGGATTTGGGTGCTGCTGTCGATGAGCTCAGCGATAGAAAATGATCTTCCATGCCATCATCCAGCAGGGATGGTAAGGAGGTTATGCGTTCTCTGGGAGCTGGAGAGGAGGGTAATAGTCTTGGCCTCTCTGGCTTTAAATTGTATTCAGTTTTGCCTGCACCTACTTCTTCTTCTTCAGCGCCGGAGTTAGATGAATCATCCGAATTATCTTCATTATCATTGGGTGAGGAAGATTTATTTGTCCACTCCACCTGGGTTGTGTTCGTGGAGAAAAAACTGGCCTCACTGCTGGTCTTCGACAGACTGCTTGGTGCAGCTGGCGGTTCACTGTGGAAACTAGAGACGCTGTTATTTTTTGTCAGGGATGTGCTGCTGCTGGCCGGGGCACTTAATATCAAGCCCACATCTTTGGCTTTGGCCAGGGCGTTTTTAATCTCAAAAGCAGCTGCGGCCCGGGCAGCAGCCAATTCTGTGGCTGTCATCTGTTTGACACTAAGACGACGTTTCTCGTCGACAATATGCGAGGCGGTAACACCATTACTGTTCGTCGAACCAAGGTCGGGACAGCCCATGGCAATTAGTTCGCTTAGCTCGTTGGTAGACATTGTTGGGGTTGGGTTGTTGCTGTTTTTTCTGTTCTTGATTTGTTGTTTGGTTGTTTGCTTACTTAGTTTGGGCGTTATTAGCTAGCCTTCAAGTGTTTGTATTTGCTCAGCTTGATTTTGGCTTTTGTACGTTCAATATTGTTGTTGATTTTTTTTTTGTTGAAAATTTTGAAACAAATTTACAATTTTGATGTTAAATTATCCAGTAAGTTCAAATTTAATATCGCATTGTCACTGCGGGTTTTTTGCTTAAGTTTTTCTTGAGAACTCAGGAGCTCAACGAAATTTCTTTTTTTTCGATTATTTAATCACTTGGCTAAATATTTTTTTTCATTTGATTTCATTAATAGAAAAAAAATTAGAGAAAATAAACGGAGGTGCTAATAGTTCTTCTTTCAATGCGTTTGCTTTTCTTTGTAGCTTGTCGAAAACTAAAGGTGTGTTTCAATGAATTTTCCTCAATAAAAAAAATTGATAAGATTTTTCTTGTTTCACAGATTGCCTTCTACAATAAAAAAAACGATGAGCAGCAAAAAATCGAATTATCTTGAATTTATCTACGCAAGACATTTTTTAACTTTCACAATCTGTTTTCATCTTCTCACCCGCCATCCTCATCATAGCTTGCTGTGTTGGTCAGTAATTCAATGTCAATGTTTTTTCAAAGAAGAAAGAAAAAAATCTAAAATGCAAAAAATATTGTTGTTGCCATCTGATCTTCTCTTGCTATTTTTTAATGTTTTTTTTTTTTCTAAAATTTTTGGCATCAGATTTTTTTTTAAGAAACAAAAAATAAAAATAACAAAAAATCATTGAAATAGGGAATGTGTCGATTTAACGAAATATTTTCATAAAATGTTTCTGGCTTTCTCAATTTGTTAATTATTTGTTTGGGGGCAAAATGCTATTGCGCTATTGCTTTCAATGATTTTGTGAAGAAAAAAAACTATTCATTTCGATTGTTGTCATGAAATGAAATTTAAAAAAACAAAGGCGCCACTATTAATTAATTGTCTGATTGCAAAAAAAAAAATCACTTAAAGTCCAAGTGGGGTGTCAAAGATTTTTTTGTTGTTGAAATTTATAGAAGAAATCAAGGGAAAATCGATAAAGAGCAACCATTTTTGAAAGGGTTTTGTATTGCAGTATTACCCTAGATAAAGGACAATTAAAAAATAACTACAGAATTCATTTTTTGTTTTGTTTTTAAAATTTTATGACGACTTTTTGATAAAATTTAAGGGTCAATTGTTTCGATTGCGATTAAACGGCTATACATTGATTTTACTACGATATATACTCCGTTATATGGGGGCTATAGAATATCGTGGACCTATATAAATAATTCTTTTCTGAGGTATAAAGTACCCGCAAGTAACTCATTGTGTGGATTTTCAGACAATACCGTTGAAAAATGTGGCTAAAATCTTCTAAATACCGAATATTGGGGATACCGTTTTATGGGGGATATACGATATCGTGGACCTATGTAGACAATTCTCTCTCAGGGGATAAAATACTCACAAGGGACTTCTTGTGTGAAATTTCAGACAATTCCATTGAAAAATGCGGCTAACATCATCAAAATACCGAATATGGGGGGGGGGGGGGGGGGGGGTACCGTTATATGGGGGCTATACGATATCGTGGACCTATATATATAATTCTTTTCTGAGGTGTAAAGTACCCGCAAGTTACTCCTTGAGTGGATTTTCAGAAAATTCCGTTAAAAAAATGTTGGTAAAATCTTCTAAATACGGAATATTGGGG